TCTGCTCTTTCAGTCCACAGGGACGACCCTCTCCTGTACGGCAGGAGAGCCTTGAACACCACTCACCTCTGGCCTGGCTCTAGAAGGCCACTTCCTGATTATATGGCACGGTTGTTTTCGTGTATTTAACAAATTAGTGAGCCGCTAGAGGACTGTACTTCAGAGGCACTCTATAAAAAATAACCCTGCTCAGAATCCTATAACAGTGCTCTTAAGTAAATCAATATATATATTTAAGACTTTTAGAGTAAAGAGTATGTCATCATCCTGGCTAGAAAATCATTATTGTAGAACTTCTATAGGGTGGTTTTTAGAAAGACAGACAGGTGCTGGGATCATGCTGATTGTAGGTATAAGTGTAGTTAAATTGACAGCACTGTGATGTATGACTGTACCACTGGCACCATTGATCTCAACTTTAACTGCAGCAGTGCAGTGGAAAATGATGGGCTGTTGTTTTGCAGAGAGAGGGGTCACACACGATCTTCTGTGACCCCACAGTCCACACATGCCTCTCTGGTGATTAATTATAGGTGAATATGTTCTCCTTTTGCCAAGAAACAAAGAGGATTATACTATACCGTCTGTGTTCTCCACTTATTCCATAATGTTTTAACTGCAGCTTTTTACAAGGTCATAAATGACGAGTTGTGTTCTAGTCCAAACGCCCGCCTCACCCCCTCGCGTCGACTCATCTCTTGTGCCTTTAAATTTCTAATTGTCATCTGTTAGAATCCGTGTGATGTCTATTAGCAGGGACAAAGTCGCAAAGAACGGAAAAACAGCATCACCCAGTGGTAGAAACTTGCAACTGCACGCGTCTGTTTCTATCCTGAGTGTCTGCTTCATGACCACATTCATTAACAACGTACGCTTGTATTAGAAACAGACGTGAGATGATGATTCAAACAAACCACAGCTGCAGTCACTGACTGGAAAAGTACAGCCGCGTCAGTCTGTGTCTGCTGCAACGCTCTTAGTGTGAGGAGTGCAACTCCCAAAAAGTGTCAAACTTGATTAAGAGCAGAGTCACTGATTAATAATTTCCAAAGAGCAGGAACGGTTGCAGTTCCCTCCTGTGTGTTTTTTTTTTCCATCACCATCTAATTACATGAGCTGTAACATAAATAATTCATGTGGCTGTTTAGGACAAAAATATGACAATCAACCTGCAACTTGTGTCATGACTAATTCAGCAGGTGCTAAATGCTTTATTAACATGTTTAATTTGACTTGGCCTCACCAGTGAGTTAACAGAAAATCTATATTTTTAAAGATTCCTTTTTTACAGTAGAAAAATATATCAGTGTTTTCGAACATACATGTACTAGTTCTTAGTAACAATATTTTTCTTTTTCTTCTTTTAAGCTCTTTAAGATTTGACGGTCAGGTGTTTAGATCATTTTAGATTTTTAATGACATTAAATTCTTGGCTTTTTAAAGGCATTTTAATAACTCTATGGTCTATTGCTTTTGTTGCTGATTGCTTGGGTTTTTTTCTTGTTATTTTCTCTCTTTATTACTGCATCAAGGTGAACAATAACTGTTCCACTGTGGGGATGGTGTTCTTTGGGTTAAATATATCTGCTCTCCTCGACAAAACATTAACAACATCAACTTTTAACGACCAAACATCCCAGTTTTGTTCCATCTGACCAGTGCATGATATATCTTACAAAACGCAGGCATTCCATTTATATAACCCATAATATGAAGTTGAACCATTGGTTAATTATCTAGCTGACCTAGTTACTGGGATAAGAGGGATTTCTTCCTATAGTTTTTCAAATGTTACTCGGTGTCATCGCCTCTGTTCAAAGGCTACAGTTTTAAGCCTTATTTGCCTAAATGTAATTTGATTTTTCAAGTGACCAAATACTTGTGTAACATGTCATAGAGCTTACACAGGCAAATATCCTGAGTGTTTCGAACAAGCGTTACATTTTAGAACTGAACTCACACATGCATAATAACAGCCTCGTTTGCATACATTACGTCTGTTTGTCACTTAGAACACAGAATGTTTTTGTTAGTAAAGTCTAAAAAAGTACTGAAATAATGAAAAAGTACAAAATGACAAAAGTCAAAGGGTCGACACACACAATGTGCAACAGTTGAAGCAGCCAGTGGTCAAATATGGTTTTAAAATGGCAACATATTTAAGGCCAAAGGATAGTACTGCCACTGATGCAGTCGGTTTATTTATCAACTCTACAGGTCTTAAATCAAAGTGATTCAATCATGAGACTTTCAGATTTCTTATGGACCACAGATACATGTATAGCACTGCCATCATAATTTATTCAACATTTCTTAAGCCAAATGCAGTAAAAAAGCATTTGGGAACTGTGAAACTTTTAGTACAATCAGAGCAGCAGAAGTGCTTTAAGGGAGCTCGATGATATACGGTCAGGTACGAAGTGGAAGGACACTGAGTAGTTTAACAGCTCTGTAATCAAAGAGAAAGCCCTGTCCCTGTTTAACCCAGCACAGTGTCTGAATGTAAACTGCAGGACATTGAAGTCGTGCACCACTCCACTATCATTGAAGGGGTAGTGGTTAAATGTAATAAAACAGGCAGCGATTGAACCAAAGGCCTGTGAGCAACTCATCCATTTACTTCACTTTACTGCCATCTACAAAATCTGACCATTTTATAGCCATTCACGTTGTTTTCAGTAATCAAACAGAGCCACGCTGTGCTGGCAACGTACGACTGTGAACATTCAAACTTGAGATTTATATCAAACTGACCTTCATTTTTTGAAACATGGTCTCATACAGTGCTGTCACTGTGACACATGTCATTGAGCTTTATTTATCCCTCCTCCCCCAAGTTGTTTGTTGACTCGCCATCTGCCATTGTTACCCCTGTCAGTCATTTCAACACTTGACCTTGTGTCATGAACCCCCGAGGTTCAGATGTCACTCATTCACATCACACCACTCTTCCTCAGCTCCTCCCTGCTCCCTGCACTCTCAAACCTGAAGCCCTCTATAACCAAGACATCTCCATCCTCCACGATGTTGGCCTCACACTGACGCTGGATCTGTCACAACAACAGGCCCTTCAGCCAAGTGTATGTAACAGTGACAAATTGTTTTGTTTTTATAGTAAAACATCTGAAGCAACAACAACAATAAAAAACTACTGAAGTACATGTTCACTACACAACGAAAGAGACAAATTAAGAATGTTCTAAACATACAGAGATTATTAAAGAGTACTACAATGAAAGGCACAGGTTTAGATCAGTTAGTGATTAAATTAATTCAATAAAAGTGTTCAGCTAACTTTTAGCTGTACATCGACAGGGTTTGGGTTCATAATTGTGTGTAGAAATGTTTTGCCAAAAGCTGTTTTCCTGCAGATTTGGCTATTTACAGTTGTTCTTTACCCAATACTAATTATATAAACATTTTCTAGCTAACTTTTATTTTTGATAGCCCACAAATGCTTCAGTGCTTTTCTACCGATTGGCTGCTTTATTGGTGTACATACCATTCTAGGTGGTCTCTGTTTGGATCGATGTGTTACTGTGAGTGAGATCAGCAGCGCCTCCATGTTGCAGAGCAGAAGTTGGGCATCTGATAACACTACAGAAAAAGTAAAAATGGATACAAAATGTTGATATCTGGAACTTGTGAGAAAAATAAGGTGAACATATTTTCTGCATGAATTTAAACGTTGCAGTCACTGAGACAGGAGAACTCTTACGGGCCTTTTGAAAAATAGATGAAGTGAAGTGCTTCTTTGGTCAAATGTGTGGTTAAAGATTCACAGGACTGCAAAAAAAATTCCTTAAAAAAGTAACATATGTTTCTTATCCAGGTGAAATATATTTTCACCATCTAATTATGTAATCATTTAATCAATAAAACATGTAGCTAGAACATGCTTATTAAGGAGAAATTGTTTTCAAATGTTTGGGACTACTTAAAGAATCACTTAAAGTATTTCATACAAAGAGACATATTGAACTGACATTGATGAGTCTCAGAAATGTCGATTTCAGGTAAGTCTTGGTCTGCTTTGTTGTTCCTGTTTTGGCATTCTTGCACAGCCAATGTCTGGTTTTTGTTTTTCTTAGGCATGACCCTGTTTGATAAAACAAAAAGATATATAGTTAATATGGTTCAGGGTAAAACAACGTACTCTTTCCTGTGAACATACACATTATTGTTGGCTTTTTTCCCCCTCTACATATGAAAATAATCATCACCTGCCATGTAACTACAGTTACAATTGGAACAATAAGATATTAGCCCACTTTATGGCTAATCTTAATCCTTACCGTTACCCAAATACAGCCCTAATTCCATTCATAATCATTTCAATGTCTTTTGAAATAGATTTTTTTTTTCTTTTCACTTCAATTTTGGGTACTACGAATGACTGAAATGATAAAATAGATAGCGGTATGCCATGGTAACTTTTGCCACCATTTGCACGCTGGTCCTTCGTAAAAATGGTCAACATTTTAAAGCTCTTTGTATTACAAGCGTTACGCTAAACGCCTCGACACCATGGTACGGTAGGTTTTGGTCTTTCTGATTTTAAAATAAAAAGAAATTAATACATATTTTATAGTACTTATTGTTTGTAAAGATGTGTATTCTAATTATATTTGATGTTGCTGTGCTTTGTCGTTTTTTTAACTGGATATTTGTAACTGCTGCTCGCGTTCAGACGTTTCAACGGTAATGCCGCAACTACAAGAATAAAGGAGCAAAAATTATTAAGAACGAAAAGCAAATAAAGCATTGACAGGCCTCGAATACATATAGTTGACAAGAAAACGCCACGAGAAATCGTCTTTGATACCTTGTACACAGAATGAACAGGAACCATTAAAGTCAGCAACCTTCTTCCTCGCTGTTTAATCAAATCCACCTGTAACGACTACCGGTCATGCTGTTACAGACCGGTAGCTGCTATGTCCATGGACGGTCAAATGACAAAGAGCTTTTATTCTGAAAATACTCTAGCAGTCAAGCGACTCCCGGAAGTTTTTGTTTGCTCACCTGTCAGTTCTGGCACAGTGCGAGTATCAATCCTTTTTGTTTTCTTTTATTGAGGATAAATGAGCACACTGTGTGGCCAGCAGACCCCCGACTGAGGACACCATCGAACAAGGTCAGTGGATGTCAAAAGTGAAAAAGAATCGACTGCTTTAGCTTCACCTTAGCCATGAATAGGCAGAAGACGATGGCTAGTAGGCGCTAGCTAACACTTATCATCCTCACTAATCGGTTGTTGCGATTACCTGTTTTGTTTTGTACAAATGTTCGTGTGTTAGTTTTGTGGTGTTTTAATTGCTTTTCGTTTTTTAATTTTTAAAAATGCTGCATAAGCGGCACCCTTGTTAGCTCCCGGAAGCTAACACCACCACCCAGAGCTTGTTATATGAACGAGTCGGTTGTTTACATTCCGAGTGTAGCGCTTTGTTGTTACACTTTGTGATACAGGAAGTCATTTGCTTAATTAGATGTCGTTGTTATCACGTTTAAAATTCGTTTTCAAAATGTCGGGGTAAATGTAGGAGTTTTCCGTTTATAATTATGCAGTCGGTTTAGTTTCGTTTTAAGCACTTAACCGAGTCTCTGTTCTAAATTGTCATGAGTGAAAGTCAAGGTAGTTTTGTGTTGGTCATTGTCCTAGTTGCGACTCACAAACTGTCAACTGTCCTGCTGGAACTCTTATTAATCAGTGCCAGCCATCAGTGTTGAAACTTTGGGCCATCGCAGTCAAAGACGCGGCTCCACTGTTTGCTGCATCATTGCTGACATCACCAGTAACCATAGCCAGACAGTTTTACCCCGGTGTGTGTACGACGAAAACGGTATAGGACGATCAGATTTGTCAGTAATGATAATATTATTGATAAAAGCCGTGAGGTTTTTGTATAGTTCTTGCATTTCCCAGCCTGGGATCAATAAAGTACATCTATCTACTTCAACTCGACATTTTCTCCTTTAAATAGCAGTGTTTAATACATACAACTCCAAATTTGAATTTTTCCCCCCCTGACATGACCAATGTAAGAAACCTAACCCTTAATATAGGTATTCACATCTACTAATTTGCACTCCTTTATATCTGGTATTCAAAATGTAAATGTTTTTCTCACACTAGTAGAGACATTTACTAAACCGTTTTAGTGGGGAATTAGTCAACTTCATACAATGAGGGTCATCTGCATTATCTGAGATTTAGACTTGTCTTGTTGACTGCAAAGGTTTTGCTAATCTGCACAAAGAGTTGTTAAAACCAAACTCTTTTGGTAATTTGGTGCATAACTGGTTGTTTTACAGCATGAGATGCAGAAACTATGCACACAGAGCAACTTTTGGCTCTCAGAATCGTGGTTCAATAAAACAAAACAATGATTACAGATGACGTGAAATAAATGCACAATTTACAAGAAGGATTCAAAATGTAATCAAACACATAAAAACATAATATTACTATCTCTCTGAAAATTGAACCTATCCTCTTTCCTCCAGGGCATCTAGCTGCTACACAGTAGGCCAGTGCAAGCATGGAGCCTCTGGCAGTGGACGATGACATCTGCATTCTCAAACACGAGACGGCCTTTACCACCACCAGTGAGAGCCCCGTGTCTGTGTGTGCAGGCGACGAGTCTGTGGCCTCCCACTTCGCCCTGGTCACGGCCTACGAGGACATCAAGAAAAGGCTCAGGGACACTGAGCGGGAGAACACGTTACTACGGAAGAGGGTGAAGCAGCTAGAGGATAAGGTACTGATGCAGATGAACCAGGAAGCCACCAGGAAGTTTTGTTAAAGTGTTAGTTCAGAACAGTAAAAGACACTATTAAAATTAAGACAGGAGTAAAAAAAAAATTTAAAACTGAAGCTGCAGAAAGATTTGAAGAGTTGAAAAACATATTTTTTTCTTTTGTAAAATTGTGTCCAAATAAGAACACACAAAGAATCAATAGACACACTGACTAATGTTAGTGTTTTTAGAGTGTGTTTCTGTTATCTCACCCCTGTAGCTCTTCAGGCCTGATGCCCCTCCTTCAGAAGGTCCCCAGTATGTGAACAAAGCCTTCAGTGCTTACAGAGGAATCTACATAGAGAAGGAAGACCTGCAGATGGAGCTCAACAAACTGGTGGGTTTACCATTTACTACTTGTCCCGATTGTTACATTTGTTAGAAACATCAAAAAAGAACAAATAAAAAGGAATATAAAAATGTTTTCTTATTTATCACTACCTGCTCATGTTCTCTTGCAGAAAAAGGAGAAGAGTGAGAGTGAGAAGCTGCTGACAGAGCAGCTTCAGGCCAAAGAGTTAGAGCTGCTGCAGCTGAAGACAGAAATGGAAACCAGCCAAGGTACAGGTGGAAAACACATGGACGCACTGATTTGGTTTTTAACAGCTGCACACCATTCTAAAAAATAAATAAATAATTGGAGCCCTGACAAATTGTCTAAAATTGTTTCATTTCTAGTGTATAAGAAGTAAAAAGTTGAACCGCTACATTCGGCCCACAGCTTTTAAGTGACCATTTGAGTGAAAATCATTTTTTTATTTATTTTTTGTCTTGTGGTCAGTCATGAAGAGCTTGAACAGCCCACAGGACTACTGGCAGGTGGACAGAGTCAGCACTGAGCTGAAGATCCACAAATTGCAGGAAGAGCTGGAGAAGGTGACACTGGAGAACAACAGACTGCTGGAAAAGAGTGGGGTAAGAACACTGGAGGGAAAAGGGAGAATAATAATAATAATAATAATTCAGGACATTACAACACATTAGACTGGGGATTATGGGTTTCCAAATTGGCCTTCTTGATTATCGATGAATTAACTGCAACATTGGTATAAGAAAAAAACAACACGTATTTTCTATACTTTTATATATATATATATATATATATATATATTTAAAAGTAAACGTATTGTATCTTTTGTACTGTGTATTTCCCGATGTTAGGAGGAGCCCCAGGGTCTAAATGGACCAGACTTGGACCTGACCTGTGACACAAAGTACAATGCAAGGTAAAATGTTAACTACACCTGTGCACTGAAAATAAAAGTAAAAAGTACAATAAAAAACAAGCTAATAGTAATATAGCTCGTGTTACCGAATAGTTTGCTGTCGCTGTGGCGTGCATTTGCCCTATTTGGCCACTGGAGTGTGCTGTTGCTTCATAACATGCGAATATAAAACTAATGTTGCGTCTTCTGTTTGAGTACAGCTGTAAAATAAATCATTAATTTTTTTTTAGATATGGTGTCAGTCAGCTTGTCAGGCGTAGACTTACTCTTTGCCCTGCACTTGGGAATTCATGTCTGACCCACGCCGGGCGTCTGACCAGCAGTTTTTCCTGCAGTGTGTGCAAAAGAAACTGTTTGTGTGTTACATCATTGATGAGTGATACAGTGAACATCTTTTTGGCTATTCACTATAAGATTTATAATTTAATCTGAATAATTTCACAAATTAATTAATGAATGCAAGCAATTTATTGCTTTTGTCAGCCCTAAAAATTGACTACAACTGGATCATTGCTTAAAAAGTATTTTCTGCATATTTACAATATAGCTCTCATATGCTATATATATGCTATACCAGAAACAGTTAATAAACACAAGCATTGCCCTGATCCGCAGTGAGAAGAACATGCAGCAGACGTGCCAAGCTCTGCACCGTGAGTTCAGTCGACTCTGCTCGGGCCTGAAGCACCAAAGTGGTCTGATCAGGAAACTGAAGCCGCTGATCAACGAAACGAGACAAGGTGAGGAATATATAATATTTTAGGTTGCTGTTTGTATGCAAATATCCACAGTCTCATTTCTATGTCTGTGTTTGTGATCATCTGCTGGGTGCTGCCCCCTGCTGACATTTCACACCTCCTCAGATAAAACAGCGTGGGGAGAACCCGCACCCTCCTTTATGCCCACAGTGCAAAATTTTCACAGGTTACTCTTCACATGCTGTGAGATAATTCCAATTATTCTTTTTTTGGGGGGGGGGGTTGTTGAAATCACTCAGAAATGCACATCAAGACAAAATTAAAAGTCATTGTCTCTATCAGAATGCCTTACTTCTGCCTTTCTTTACTGAAGGGGTGCTCCACAGCTGAGAAGACACAATTTTTATAAGGACGTGTCTGTTTTGCCAGTTTCCCTCCCTCAGTGCTGATATATACTCTCTCCATAAAAGAAATAACAGCTGTTGTCGTTTCTCTAAGAGCATCAGAGAAGGAAACCTGGAGGTGAAAATTAGAAGGAAATATGGCAGGAAAATAAATCACAGCCTATTTATTTTACTGAATAAGAGGGTAATCCTGTCATTTTGATGAGAAAGATGGGAAAACTAAATGAAAAGCAAGGAAAGAAAATGAGGTTCAGTTATATTGTGCATTTGTATTCTAATATTTGTACAATAATTTATTTAAATATGTTACTCCCTCACACTGATAATAACTGAGTGTTATACAGTACAATGATGGTCAATTCATCATTAATTCACTTTTAATGACAATTTGCTACTGGTGAATGTGATCAAATATACAAAGAAAAATAAAGAAAATTTAATCTGATCTTAAAATTCTCACCAGTTGATTTTGGGGGGAGTTTTCCATCAATGGCCATTGATGGTATAGAATTTTACAAATAATTATCTGCTAAGGTTATATGATATAACAGTGTCTATAATTGTCATCATTTAATTTCATATAGCCTGATGATGTTGTTAGTTTAGGAATTCTTTGGAGAAACATTTAATATGAAGAACACTGCCCCCACTGACAAATACAAGTTAATACAAGTAAAATGCGTAACTAACACTGTCGACAATGTTTCTCTCCAAGTACCACCAGTATGAACAACATTAAAATACAGCAGCACAGATCTGCACAGAATAGTTCAACAATTAGCTACAGACACACTTTACTATGATCTAGTGCAACACCAGACACTTCCTGTTTGACCAAGTAACTCACAATGTTTGTGAACCGTTAATCTCCAATAAGAACTACTAAAGTCTATAAATGAACTAACATGTCTATTCCCACTGTTTACTTACCCTCACTCTCTTCTTTACCAACTTTGCTTTGTTTCTCTCTCTTCAGCAACAGTTCCAATCCAATGTCTGGATGACGTGGAAAAAAACAACCAGCCAGTGTTTCAGCCCACAATGCCTCGCCCCCCTAGCGCCCCCCCACTTCCCTCGTGTTCTGGACGCCCCTGCCCCCCTGTTGGTGGCCCGTCAGGCACCCTGTTGCCCGATAGCCTGAAGGAGGACTGCTGGTACAACGGGCCTTGGCCCTCAGAGAGCTGCTCGGATGAAGCCCACTCTGTCGTCCTGCCCCCGCCCCCCTTAAACCAGGCCTCTTTAGACGACAGCTCGAGGTCCTTTCCCAGTCCCCCCAAGCCCAGTGATGCCATATTCTGGGAGGGACACTCTAATGCCTCCACCTCATCGTCTTTAATGGGCAACTACAGTCCAAGGAGCCCCCCCAATGCTGAATGGGCCAAGCCCTTTTGAGAGGAACACTGACGGGACGATAGATGATTTTTGAATAGTGTGACTAAGGATGGACTCCTGCCACACAGCTACCACCTGACCTGCCTTAAGTTGATTAGACCACTCCTTCCAGCTGAGCTGGACGGGACCTGCTGGTTGTGGCTGAATAAGAGAAGCCTTTTCTTAATGTGAGGAGTCTGCTTCCACCAATCCACGCTGTGGTGAACGTATCTGACAGAATTAGTAGATCTTCTGTCTTTTGAAAACACGTGAGCAGTTTGACTTCAGTGCATCTATGCACACACATACACACACTCAGACAGATCAGTGAGAAGGAACCTCTGACCTGCTGCTCCTCACAATGAACCCCACAGGGCTTTAAAGGGCCTTTTCTCTCCATATAGTGTGGTCAAACTTTACATGCTAGATTTTGTGAAACATTCACTCCACTGACATTTTACATTTAACTGTAAAGTTTAAAAAAACACCCATACACACGCCATGGATGCAAAGAAAGTGTCTACAAGTGAGGGCTTGATCTGGGGGGACTCTCAGCTGTGGATGCAAAGAGTGAGCTGTAATATATACAAGATTTTTTCTTTTTTGAATAACTACCAAATAAATTCTTGTTCTCTCAATGGAGGTTACACCAGTCCTTGTACATTGATCAACCCATGACCCACCGGAGTCAAGTTAAATTAGGAGGGCTTTGCAGAAATTGAGCAATGTCCCTAAATAGTTTTTGCTATTTATCACACAGAGAGTTTTACATAGAAAATAACAAAGGTGAACATTTGGTCCAACCTACTGTAGACTAAGACATTCTTAACAGGTCCAAGTGGACTGCAAACAGTCTAGTGGTTCAGTCAGTCTAGTTCAGAGCTGCTGAATTTCTGACCTTGCTTCTCACCTCTGAGGATGCTCAAAATATTATTACAAACACAACGCAATACAGCCATGCATGTTTAAAGCATGTTTAAAGTATCAAAGTAGTGAACACCCAGTCATATACCTCCCATCTACCTCGCTCACATTAGGAGAGGTCGATAAAAGTTTGGTCTGTTGTCCAATCGTCAGCTAAGGGAGGATAGGAGACTTCTATTAGAAATCTGTCCATCAAAGCCGTAGCAGCTGAGCCGCAAAACTTAATGGACACATTGATGTTTTGTAGGAACCAATTAATGTTGCATAGGGTTGGTAATGATATTTTGAGCATGTAAATGGACATCATACAGTCCAACAGTTTATCACAACCCGTCTGTATTTACAAGCACTTGGACAATTATGACAACTTGGTCTCTGTTAGAGCAAACCATCATGTCTTCTATCTTCTTTTTTTTCCATACTAGCAGTAATAGTAAAGTACTTCGAACAACAGAACCACCTGTTGAAAAACTGACATTTCTCTCCAAAGGTGTAGTATTGTCTCAGAAATTTTTACAAGCACCTGTAAACTTATCTTTTTATCATGTGTTGCTTTCTAAACTACTGTCTTTGTCTCTTTGCTCATCTTAATGTAATAGGGACATGTATATGTAAGGCTATGTTGTTGGGGATTTTTTTATTTGTTGTTTGTTTAGTTGGAGGATTCCTGGAACAAAATCCATACGTTTCACTGTATTCTAAAAACTTGATTTGCTCTGTGGAGATTATAAACAGTAGGAAATGTATCTAAACGCTGTACTGTACTGGTGTTGAACCAACACACATTTGTTGGACAGTATGACCTAAGAAGGCTTGTCTTTGGTTTTCTTTTTTGGTAAAGTATAAATGAAGGATTTTAAAAAGTTTTATATTTCGAGTGTAACACAAGCTATACAACCTGAAGAATGTGCATATCTGTATAAATGTAAATGGTGGGCTTCAGTATTCTGCCAAACCCTGTCTGCAAACCAAAAACCAGATTATCCTTTCTCCCTCTTCCCTTCACCCCTAAAATGTCTAATCTGTATAAGAGCTGTCGGCTGTGGTGGCAACAAAATACTTGTATTAACCTTAAGAATTGTGAGCTGTGACTTGACAAGTAGGTGCACAGAGCACAAAGGGTATGTAGTCGTTGAAAAATGATCCAATCATTTCCATATTTGTCGTTGTGGTTCATGACAACTGTGGTCCTTTTTTTTTTTTATAAATTAATTTTTAAGAAATGTTCTTTTACAGCAGTAGTTTCATACTTCTGTAAACGATTTGCAAACCAAAATGCAATGTACAGTAGATACCAATTATATTTTAGATTTACTGCACTCCAGACTGTTTGTAAATATGATCAATTAAACAAATGACCAGGAAGTGGAAGCCTGTGTTTCTTTACATGTACTATACATTAAAATAAATGACATGTTTTATTTTTTTATTTCCCTGAGGGAATTCCCAAATAGTTTTATTTAATCTAATTTCTAAAATCTAAAAAAAACATATATGCAGTACACCAAATGCACCAACTGTAGTATTAATACCGGTACGATACTCCCATTAAAAAATCCTTTCACAAAAGTTTCAGTACTAAAGAGTTAAAAACAAATCCACAAAAAATTAGAAAATGGATGACTTTCTGTTGGTTCTAGACATTGCTGTCTTAAAGCCTGTTTGCTACAAATGATCATGTATTTGTAGCAAAACTTGTAGCAAAAAATATTAAGCTACCAATTATAACTGCTTTGTCAACTGTATTTTAACACCACAATCTAAGATGCTTTATTTACATTAAACAAAAACTAAACATTTGTCAAAAGTAAAATACTTGCCAATTGCTTTCCATTGATTTCATAGCTAGCAAGTAGCTAACAGCTCTATAAAACTACACCAATACTCCTAACATACAAAACACAGCTCATATTATACACTCAATAAAATACCATATGTAGGATTTTCTTACCTTTTCCCAGGAAAACAGCAGAATTAGCCATTACTGACAGAAATGACTTCAAGCCTCCATGACTTCAACATGTGCCACAAACCTTTTTCTTTTGCAGTTTAAATGTAGATGTTATTGCATTACTGCCCCCTTCTGAATATCACTTGTATTGCAATTCATTTCATTTTGGGTCTTAGCAAAATGACACAAGCATATATATCGCAAAACATACTCATAAATGACACTTTAAGCACTTGTATAATTTGTCCTTTTATTTTCACAGAATATTTACAAAGTCATATTTTAACACTCATCGCTTGGTCATAAAGTTCTTAAATGGAAACCAGTTAAAAAAAGAAACGATGATGAGGATCAAAGGTAAAGAATCAGACAGTTTTCATGTTGCATGTTAAAAAAACTGCAATTGAAATGCTCTGTGACCATAAAGGCCACAATGAAATCATATTTTTCTGTACAAAAAGTAATATTTGGAATATTATTTAACATCAACTTTTTGTTCTTGGTACTGGATGTTGGACTTCATTATTGACAAATAAGAAAAGGTGTTGGATGTCATGATGCTGATCACATACTGGCTGGGAGTTTTTGTTTTCTGTTCTTTGAGGGAATTCCTGTTCTTTCATATTGCAGTTTTTCTTGAATGTACTCTTGCTTACACTCCTCGTAGAAGGCAGGGTCCTTGTAGCTGAGGGAGGGGGAAAGTGACAGTGGCTCACTTCAGGTTTTGTGAAGCCATGTTGGAGACTGTATGACTTTATGACTACATAGACTGTATGACTACATAGACCGAAGAGTAATGTAAAGATGAACAAAGAAATTGGTTCAATTTAGTTTGTGCTGTAGTAAGAAAAAATACTCACTACTGTGTCATGCATTCCTTCAGTGCAGAATTCTCCTCTCTGCATTTCAGTACCATTAAGAAACCAGATTCTTTACAGCAGTGGCTGAAAGCTGCAGTGAAGCAGGGAAAAGATGGAGAAATGACCAAAAGACAAAGACAAAAAAAGAAGTCTCTCATATTTTCTCTCTCAACTCCGAGTACTTCTCAGCAGGATAATCTCCAGTCTCATTCTGCACAATTACAAAACTTAACTGACCTGCCTGCAGTCCAGATCTATCTACTGAATAAAGTTTCTAGTGCATCATGAGCACAAAAATCAGACCAAGGAAAATTGCCCTAAGGCTTTTGCTTCCTTCAAGTAGTACACGTGTTTATTATTCAAATATAAAATAATCTGCCTACCAAAAACACACACAATTAAAAAGCCTACAAACACTAAGACATATAATCCCTTTCTGATTCAGGCACATTGATAGTGTAATACAGACTACATGTGGAAGACCCTCATTGTAAACAAGGTGCTGAAGGCTGAGTCGTCACCTTGTTAGCAAGTTCTTGCACAAGGCTTTAATTAAAACCACTGTCCTCCGGTGTCCCCTCCACACAAAAAAAAGGGAAATCATAATTACCGTTATCAGTGTGTGTATCATTAGTATGGTTATCACACAGACACTTTCATTAGGATGCAGATGTGGGGGGAAAAAACAACCGGAGAACCAATTTAGAGAAGCACAACAGTGGGACTAATCTAATCAAGTGACACCTTATCCTTGTCCCGTGGTACTAATGGGGGCGGCAGAAGGATCCCTCCCTGATCACAGCAACACTAAAGACATTCTGTGAGACTGGGTCAATGACACATTTGAATAAAAAAGGTGATATACTGGTTTTTATACTGCTTTAAAAATTAAAGAAACATTTGTTTTCTTTAAAAAACGGAAACAATTGTCCAAAGAAACAGACATTACTATTCATCCCTAGAGACCTGACAGCATAATCCAACATATATGTGTTGTAGAAAACATCGTTACAACATGTAAGTTTGTTGAAATTAGTATAAACAATAGAAGGAAGAATAAAAAATGTGATGTTTTTACCTACGACTTTCTCAGCACAACGCTCCTTTGCTTTCTCTCTCATCATCTTAGGAATCAGGACATCTGTTTCCACGTGTCTGAGTTTGATTTCTTCTGAGAAAGAAGACAACAGTAGTCTAATGTCCTAACAACACACTGTACATCATTACGAATTGACATTACACATGCGACATACACATTGAACCCAGTAATACTGCATTGGACCTGTCTGCATTACACATATAATGGTAAAAAGACAAATTAATTCGGGCTTAAATATACGACGGTGATTATGCTTTTGTTAGTGTGACACCTTTATTTTAGCTAAGCGATTAGCTCAAGTGCGCACAACAATTTAACATTAGCATTATTTTCTGGATACACGGTTATTAAAACTGTTTAAACACATTCGCACAAAAGAACAGAACGGAATAGTTTAATGTTTCTAACTGGCAAATATCTTTTTAAAACATTGATAAGTTTACTACCTGCATTAGCTGCTTCCATAGCGGCGACTGTTGTCAAACATTTACTACCTTAGACCAATGTGACCTGCCGCAGCTAACTCACGTAAACCCACAGTACTTCCGCTGACGTCACTGAAACAAAACTACAAGTCCCAGAGTCCTGTGGAAATACGTGCGTTTCATTTTCTAATTTTTTTCAGATTTAAAGAAATACCATCTGCATCTGTGACAAAACGATTTTTAAAAAGGCGTCTGATTTTAAATTCGTTGTACTTTTTTAGACTTCTCTTTAAAAAGTAACAACAAAAATCATAACATATTTATTACATTGCATGTCTCAATACTTCTGTTTAACAATTAAATTGAACTGAGTGGATGGTTTTCTGCAATTGGACTTTCTGTATTTTGTTAGTATTTGTTTGTTTATAAGCTATCTAGTTAGCTACAGTATTTGTGTAATTAAATATTAAATCAATTAATAAATTGAATATCAATCAAATGTGTAAATGTATACATTCTCATCATATATTCATATTTGCATTATTTACATCTCATCATTAACTGGTCAAGAGGCATGATTTGTTTTTGGTCATTTGATTTGTTCAACTATGGAGCATCGTTCTACATTTACTATGTTCCGTCACCATGTATAGAACTTTGAGCCCTTGATCTCAGTCAAAACAATATCACTTTTAACATGTATTTAACTCTACATACACATTATAAAAGTAGATGGACACACACATATATGACATATCCGTGTTGTCTAAGCACACACACACACACACACACACACACACACCAGACAACATACCTCCTGCTTTCATGTGGACATCTGCACCGTTTTAATAACAGCAGATCTGCTCTCCAAACTGCAGCACACGCCAAATAAATATAAGGGCCAAGCAAAGGTCACATGAATATGAGGTGTAAGAGAGGAATAAATATGATGTTTTTAACAAAGCACTTTATCTGCATACTACTTTTACACTTTATACCACATACATTTTATTATTCTCCATTTTTAATTACCAAAGGGATGTCTGCCATATGACCAAAATATTCAAATTAAATAATTGTTAAATATATATTTCTATTCAAATGAGAATTAAAAAGGAAAGAGAGGATAACGCCGTGGAAATACATATAAAAAACTTCAGTTTTATGAAATCTTGTGTTTTTTTATGCTGCAGAATAAATATTTGCCTGTTTGACTCTCTGTCATTTTCCGCTGTATCTCTGTTGTTAAAGGTGAGCACTGCTCCTAGTATCATGCTGGTTAATATGGCAGGGGCAGGGACACCCATCATGGAGCCAATATTACCCGAGCAGCAGGGCCCCATGAACCTGGCAGAAGGAGGTTAGCAAAGTTAAACCCTCTTACTACATGCCTCACTGCCCAGGCCAACTAGCAGCTCTTCCAACTGTCCATCTGTCCACCAATTGGCCCCAAGTCAAGGCCCCTGTCAGAGAATGTTAAAGGGTCATTGACACCAACACCTCTTGTACGTGTGAGTCTCTAAAAAAGCACTTATTGATTTCAGTTCTTCACATGTGTGTGCATTTCAAATGTGACTGAGAAAATCTTTTCAATCACACTGCAACAGGTGCACAGAGAGAAGTAAGGTAAACACAGGTAAAGAAAATGATCCACAGAAAATCAGAATCAGGAACACCTTATTGAACCCCTGGGGTAAATTGCAGTTGCTCCTGCAAGAACATTTTAAAAAAGGAAGATAAATGTACTTAAGCATAAGAAATAGAAATACATTTTTTAAATTTACAAACAAAATTAATATGATCACATACAGATTACAGGTATATACAGCACCAAGTATTTATTTACTTGTTTTCAGTATATTTCTTGTTTAACCGAACATAAAAAAAATAAATACCTAAAAGCCACCCATGAAAGTCAGCCATACTTTGGAGATCAGCATTCTGGCTCATCAGTAAGGAGGACCAAAACTGGTAACTGGTCAGTGTATCAAGACTGAATAAAAAAGTTTCATCCACCAAGGTCTTGGAATGAAGCTTCATACATAATGAAGTTTCATACAGCAGGACCACCCAGAGTACAGGGTGTTAGGAGCTGTCACATCTACATTTAACTAAATTGTGAGACAAGACTTTTTCCCCACTGAACCGCCTTGATATTTAAGAACGATGACAGGCTGGTCTTTTTTATGCCACAGATATTCCTGGAGATGGAAGTTTTAACCTAATCCAAATGTCAGTTGACTTTTTTCATTTCAACACACAGAGCCCCAGAGAAAAAAAGATCTGTTTTCTTGTCTTTCACTTCCACGACATTGGCTGGCAGATGGAGTGTGGAGGTGAGACTTTAGAGAGTGTTTAAACCTCAGCCCCAGGAAGCCTCTTCAGGGTCGATGGAGAGCAGATAATCCAACGGCTCGGGTGAGGGGATTACAAACCTACAGGCAGACCTCTGCTGTTGAGTCCTGCTGTGGGCGCCCTCCTCAGGTCAGGCCCCATACCATTTTGAAGTGGCAATTGTGGCAAACGGCGAGTGTGATTTGAGTCACACCTTTTTTGATTTTTTTTTTTAAATTTAACTGCTCATTTTACACAGTGATATGTTCATTAGATTCAAAAGACTTTGATGTAAAATAACAGGTTGTGGAATAAATACATAATCATTTTCAATGTTGTCCACAAATTTTACAAAAGATGAAGATCATGTTCAATGTTGTCCACAAATTTTACAAAATTTATTGTAAAATAACTTTTTTAGTAATTCCCTTCTGTAATCCCAGTATCCATTGTAACAATCAGTGCAACATTTTTTTAATCACATTTGCATTGTATACATAATGAAAGTCAAAGAGGGGCAGAGACCCCTTTTGTTTAACCTGGCTGTGGTAGTGTTGGCACCACCTGAGCAATGTCACAATGTATTTCCTCTCAAGCAAGTGAAGGGGTCTGCCACTGTGCCGCAATCTGCAGCCGCTTCTCAGGCAGGCTAAACCCTTTGACACCACAGTTTTTAATTAAAATTACATTAGGAGTAATCACCCAAACGAGCTGGGGTTGGGGTCACGGGGATAAACCCAGGGGTGGGTGAGTGAAGGACATTGTTTTGATAGACATAGGTTAGAATGTTGTGGTTGTTGTTGTTGTTGTGCCTGATTAGTCAGTGACACAGTCATCGAGCTGTTGATGATGCTCTGGAGGTCTGACATGACTGTGATGTACTTTTCTTAAAAAAACATCTAACAGTGAGTCATACAGAATGGTTAACATGTTCATTAATATCAGGCAAAATTTGGAATTTAAGTCTCATTCTAAAATACGAATGGTGGATTTGAAAATAAAATTAAGCTCTTACAGATTTTTTTTCACAGTCCCATCTGGCTTTTGCCCCTTTCCTAAAAATGAAAGAAAAAAAAAAACAACCAAATGTTAATAGAACTTCTTTCAGAAACAGGAGAGGCTGAAGAGAGAAGGCTACAAAGACTCCATTGGTTCTCACTTGAGGGGCTCTCACCAAGGTAATTATAAGCTTTATCAAAGTACACATCCAAAAAGTGGAAAAAGCCCACCAAAAGAATGGGTAGACAGGAGAAGAAAATTACTTTTCCCCTCTACCTTAGCTTTATGCCCCCCTCTAACAAGAGATGAGACGGCGGGCGGGTGGAGGAGGCCTTCTTCAGGAGGCATCCTGGGGGTTTCGCTGCAAGGCAAACGGGAACGAGGAGGAGCATGCAGCCCCTTCTTGTGTTTCCTCCTTTCATTAGAGCAGCAAACCTTTGACCGCACCACAATGACCAGAGTTTTCCCTCATTACATGGTCCATCTTGATGTGAAGATGAAGAGGATAGTGAGGAAGATGAGGACCTCACTATTTGAATAGAAGTTGGATATGGAGTCCACCAGTACAAAACAACCGAGAGAGAACATCTTGTCTTTTGATCAAGTTTTTTTTTTCTCTGCTTTTCTCTGTCCCTTTCCACGGAATATGATTCTCTCTGGGTTTTTTGAACGTCCGTCCCTACCCAGGTTATGTGGTTAATTATCTAAAAGGAAAAGTTTGTACCTGTTGAAAACCTCCCATCTTTGGCCGCCCGGCTCGTTACTGTAACGCCAACAAAAAGCAGCCATGGTAGATGGTCAGAGGACACCTGCGGAGAGCCTTTCAGACGTGTCTCTAATAGGAATGCAGTGGTTAGAGCTCCTCTGAATGCACACAGGGAAGAGCCGAACAGATGAAAGAAAGGAAAGGAGAAAAAAAAACATCTTTTACCTTTTCATCTGTAATTACTCCAAATGAAGAATAGGCTGAAGAAAAGCCAGGGGAGAATTCCATTATGACTGAAGAAAAAGGAACCCTATCAAAAGGCAAAGCACAAGATCAATATGTTTTTTTTTTCCTGATAAAAAGAAGTTTTTATGAGGTTTCAGAAGTAATGATGTGTGTGCATCGGTGAGAGTGTGTGTGTGTGTGTATGTGTGTGGTGGGCAAAATCCCATTTGTGACTTTTAAAAGCAGGAAGACAGTGTTGAATGTCCTCGGAGTGCAGCATTATGAGGTGTGCATCCGTCTTAACTTGTGCACACGCAGCACGTGAAGTCACACACACTCAGTAAACATTTTCACCCTAAAACCTCAAGTAGTCAAACCTCTGTGGTGTCTAACATGAAACAGAATAACATACTGTGTGTAGATAGAAAAGAATCAAACATCATCTTATTTTAATTTTACTTCTAATCTTAAAACCGTCTTAAGTCCATTGAGACAAACATGTTACTAATAAAATTAACCTGACTTAATAAATGAGTGACAACTGAAATGAATTCAGCTTTTACCTTTGGTTGTATTGTGTTGTTCGGCCAGTTAGCAGCGGCAGAGACGAGCATCAGAAATGCTGAGTGAGAAAAAAGAAAACTATTCTAATTACTTAGGACCTTTGTTAAGACTTTTTACATCAAGGCCAAAAAAATGTTGTAAAAAACAAAAATATGAAAAAATCTGTGCGTTCACTCCACATCTGTCACAGTACGTTCAAAAAGTTGGGGAAAATCTGATTACATTGTTCCTAGTCATCCTGCTTCAATCTATAGAGCAAATACACATATGTAGAAAAAAGCAACTGGGCTGCCGTCAGGGTTTTAACACTCAAGCAGAAGCTTGCTAAA